GGTGAGTCCATTCCTGACAGATCTGATCAAAGGGTGTTGGAAGATTCTCCTTTTGGAACTGGACAAGGAAAAAATGCGTTTGTAACTCCAGATGAGTCTTTCCTGTATTGGGGGATGCCTTTTGGGTTGCAGAACGTAACATTTCAACGTGTGATGAATAAGATAAAGAAAAAACAGGTGGCGCACACACCTAGTGCATTATCCAAGGTTTATTGAAAGGAGTGAAAGATAAAAAAAATACTCACAAACGAAGCTTATATCTAAAAAGCATTGCAAAATGACGATGGCCACAACAACAGGCAAGGTGTTCCCACTGTCAGTGCGGCCAAATGGCTGACGCATTTCGGGGACGAATCCCTTTCCTCAGAGCTAATGACCAGCCTCTGATGCAGGTGTGTAATGCATGGATAATGGGAGCCTTGCTGGTGATGGAAAGGGATTTGTCCCCGAAACGTATCTTTCACTCCTTTCAATAAACCTTGGATAATGCACTAGGTGTGTGCGCCACCTGTTTTTTCTTTATCTAGTGGCTGATCTCCCCATCTGAGGAGGGCTGCACCCCTGAAGCATTTCCTTTGGTTGTCGCTGTCCTGGTACCCTTGGCTTCCCCTTTGGCTGTGCATATCCTGAGGCGCTGGAGAGTACATATCATATTTACCAAAGTATCAGGCCTTGTTAGATTCTATCTGGAAAGCTGGGTTTACAGTCAACCCAAAAAAATATACCATTGAACGAGTCCAAATATCTGGGGTATACCATTGGGGAGGGTATAATAAAGCCCTAGGTAAACAAATTTAAGGCTATTAAATTTGGCCACACCCACCAACAAGAAGCAGGTTCAAGCATTTTTAGGAAACTCTGGCTATTATCGGAGCTTTATTACACATTTTGCCGATAATAAATCAAGCCCATTGAGGTTAAAGCTGGCCGTACATGGATTGAAATTCAGACTGTGCAGCAGGGACTGGCCAAAATTCAATCCATGTATGACCGCTGTGATTGAAGAAAAGTCGATCTACAAATTGACTTCTGTTCAATCGCCCTGTCAGCTTTTTTTCACTCATTTAGAATTGCATGCTATAGACTGCAGCTCTGATCTGTGTATTCTGATGGTAGGGAGACTCCGCTGTGGATGTGAATGGGGAGAATAGGTTCAGTTTTTTTTGCATTCAACCTTCTGGTTGAACAAAAAAAACTGGCCCATGCATGGCCAGCTTAGTTTTATATAAATATTTTCATTTTAACCACTTGCCGCCCTGCCACTGTAGAAATACGGCGGCAGGGCGGCACAGGCAGGCAAAACCACGTTTTAAAACGTGTGTTTTGTAAACAAATAGAGGGCACGTGCGAAACGCGCCGCTGCCCTATCTGTCCCACCGATCACCGCCGCGGATGTCAGTCGCCGGGTCACAGCCGGTCCTTACCGGCTGTTTCCCGGCAATCGGCGGCAAACAGTGACAGAGAGCACAGCTGCAGTAGCTGTGCTGTCTGTCACTTCCCTGACAGTTCGAGGACGAGCTGATCGAGAAAGAAGAGTTTCTCTCTCTCGATCAGCGGTGTCCGGTGCAGCACACACCCCCGCCCCCCTAGTAAAACACTCCCCTCACACAGATAATTCTTCCCTGCAAAATAAAGTTAACCCCTTCCTCCCCAGTGCCATTATTACAGTGTCAGTGTTTTTTTTTTTTTTTGCACTGATCACTGTATTAGTGCTTTTGGGGATGTCAGTGACCCCAAGTCAGTACCCCCCAATGTCAGAATGTCCACCGCAGTCCCACCATAAGTCGCTGATCGCCGCCATAATTTGCTGATCGCCGCCATTATTAGTATAAAAAAACTAAAAATCCCAGTATCTTTCCCGCCATTTGTAAACGCTATAACTTTCACGTAAACCAATTAATTTACACGTATTGGGTTTTTTTTTTTTAGCAAAGACATGTCGCAGAATGCATTTTGGCAGAAATTTATGACTAAATTTGATTTTTGCATTTTTTTTTTACTGGACATGTTTTATAGCAAAAAGTCCAAAATATTGTTTTTTTTTCCTCAAAATTGTCAGCCTTTTTTTTTATAGCACAAAAAATAAAAACCTCACAGGCGATCAAATACCACCAAAAGAAAGCTCAATTTGTGGGAAAAAAAAGGATGTAAATTTCATTTATGTACCGTAATGCATGACCGCGCAATTGTCCGTTAAAATAGTGCAGCGCTGTATAGCATAAAAATGGCGTAAATTGCAGTATTTATACCATAGTTTGTAGACGCTATAACTTCCACACAAAGCAATCAATATACACTTATTGGGATTTTTTTTTACCAAAAACATGTAGCAAAATACATTTTGGCCTAAATTTATAACCAACTTTGAGATTACTATATATTTTTTATAGCTGAAAGTAAAAAATATTGTTTTTCTTCAAAATTTTTGGGCCTTTTTTTGTTTATAGAGTGAAAAATAAAAAGTGCACAGATGATCAAATACCACCGAAAGAAAGCTCTATTTGTGTGAAAAAAAGGACGTAAATGTTGTTTGGGTGCAGCATTGCATGACCGCGCAATTATCAGTTGAATTAGTGCAGCGCCGAGTAGCAAAAAGAGGCCTGGTCATTAATGGGGGTAAATCCTCTGGAGCTCAAGTGGTTAAATAAAGTTTTTAGTTTTTTTTTAATTGCATTGTTACATATTTGTTGCTTTTTTATTATTAGCAGAGAAACAATGGTGCTGATTTAGTAGACCTGGAGAGAGCAAAATCTGGTGCAGCTCTGCATAGAAACCCACTTTCCAGATTAGAAGCTTATTGGCTACCATGCACAGCTGCACCAGATTTTACACTCTCCAGTTTTAGTAAATCAAGCCCTATGCATCACAGAATAGTATTGTATAATTTATTACAAACATTTTTAGCTCATGAACACATTTTAATTATTGGTCAGAACATCCACTTGAGCTCATCACTCGTGTCATTATACTGAGACATCTTGATGAGCAGGCAAAGTGAAGAGGACCTTTTGAACCTCTCAATTTTAATTAGCTTTTCAGAAAAGTTATCCGATGACCTCACACATCTGCTCTGGATTCACTTCGTTGAGGGTCAACGTTGTCTTTCAAAAGCCTTTCTCCATAAAACATGTGTTTCAATCAAACATCCTTATTAATATCCTCACATATTGATTTTTTTCAGCTCAGTGGTTAAATTTTCCAGGAAAATCGGGGCTGTATTACCTTTTCTTCTTAATGGGAAGTTATAGTATATATTCTGTAAGCATGCAAGTCAATGCTGTGACAATTACTTGACAGTAATTTATTAAAAAAAAAAAAATAACTTTCAGATTAAAATGGTAATTATTGTATTATAGAAGTACAGTGATGCAGAAATTCTTCTTGTAGACGTGGCCTATATATCAAGAAATGTGATCAGCATGTAAAAGGAACTTTGTTGTTGGCTGAATTTGGTACACAGGCTCTAGGCCCTACTCCTTCTCCAGGAGACGTTTGCTGAGGCTGAATCCTCTGCCATTTTGTGTCCTGCTCCTTGCCATAGGCCTCCTCACAACATTTTGAGCCATAGACATTTATATCCTGATAAAGGATTGTCCACACAATAAATAGATTCATTGCACTTTACTGGAGTTGTTTAGGGAATGACAATACAGCCACATCACTGTTGGTTATGTGTTAGAGAAGACACTGGTAGCTTGTGAGGCAGAACTCTGTTTTACTTGTGTGGCTTGAGTTGCAAACATACAACACATTTCAGCAGACATCTTAGTTGAAGAGAGGAAGAGAAGAGAACCAACAAGTTTTACACATATGCACAACTGGTAACCTTAGTGTACAGTGCCATCTACTGATCAAGTGATATTAACATACAATACTACATATAGTACATTATAGTACATGCTGTTGCATTCCCAACAATCACAAGGACATACATTTTGGAGTCACTTGAGGTTACACAGTCAATCACATAAAGTGAACAGTCTGCAGCAACCACAGGTGAAAGCATATGCAGCACCTCAACAGCCATCTCCCTGCAGTCTTTCCTCTGCCCAGGGTCATCAGTACTCAGGGGACTGTGCTCTCTGTCGACACCTCCTAGCTGGGTACATCTCACCTGGGAAGCTAGTTCTCACCTCCGTAAGGGACAGAATGACTACAGCCAGCACCTCCTGCATACTGGTCCAGTTCATCCAACCTCCTGTCCTGTCCAAGGCCTACATGTGTTGGCTACATGCTCACAGGTATGAGGTGTTATGTTCCCATGCCCCAAGACATTCTGTGTCCCCTCTCCACATAGTTTATCTAAGGGTGCTGACTCACCCCTGAAGTCACCACTGAAGGAGGGCTCTACCTAAAAGGGGCCTAACATCTGTTGTGATAGAGATTATTATGGTACAGGGCCACCTAGTGTCAAAGAGGCTAACTGCATCTGCCTACAAGCAAACTATGATTCTTATCTTTGAAGTTGGGACTGTAGTAAAGGCTCGAAAATGTTGGGTATAGGTGATGATATGACACACTACCCATCTCCCTTGTAACAGCATTGGTGCCTCATGATTGGGCAGGGTAGGAGTCTGTAACCCAGAGAATTCCCTGAAAAGCTGACAGAAAAGCCTTTGCCTGGTTTGGCAGGCAAATGGAATAACACAGGAGTGAGGAAAGGTGGGTATATACTGCTGAAAAGCTGATTTAGGGAATATAATGGCGCACAGGAAGGTTAATAGTGGAGCTTGCATAATAACATAAAAACTCCAAAAGTTCATGCTAATAATAAAGTCCAAGAAGAGCCCATAATGCTAATAGCCATCCTCAGAGTGAGCCAGCTCTGCATTAGAAATAAGACAGAAAAAAGAAAGGGGCAGCGGGGCTTGAGTGTAGTATTAGGATGCTCATTTATTGGCAAATGGTTAAAAACACTCACAAGAAGCAAGGTGGAAGACTTCCTGGCTCATGGGGCACCTATGCCCCAACATCACCATCCAGGGGCGGACTGACAACTCATGGGGCCCCCGGACAATAGGGGATCATGGGGCCCCTGTGTCCTTGCCCAAACTCAAAAAAGCCTATGAAAAAGGTACCAGGGGCATCTCATGGGGCCCCCTACTGACCCCGAGCCCTCGGGCAGCGCCCGAGTTTCTAAATGGTCAGTCCACCCCTGTCACCAGCTACTCCCTTGGATTGTGGTGGCAGTTTCCATAGGACAGAGTAGAGCTGCAAATGACTTTGCTTCTTGTGAGTGTTTATAACCATTTGCCAATAAATGAGAATCCTAATACTGCACTCAGGTGGCGCTTCCCCCTATCATTTTTATATACTGCTGGAAAGATGGGATAGGTAAGTGACTCTCTTACTTTTCCTTGCATGGCAAAATTGATAGGGTACGTGTAATGGCAATTGAGTTGCCTTTTCAGCAGCAGAATTGCAACTGTTACTCATTTTTTACAATACAGGGAGTTATGAGACAAGAATGCCCAACCCTTGCTATGACATTACCCTTTTGCCCTGCAACTAGATCTACCAGTTCACTAGTGCCAAACAAATTGAATATTTGCTTGGCAGGGTGTGTCTAATGGACTGCACTCTGCGGAATCATTGAGACATCAAATCTTACCAGTCTCCAATGCCTAGCTTTGTGCAAATACAGATTTAAAGAGGAGTTCCAGATGAAAAAAAACTACATCACCGACCTAATATCCAAGTACCACCCAACACGCACACTCCGCTCCTCACAAGACCTCCTTCTCTCTAGTTCCCTGGTCTCCTCCTCCCATACCCGCCTCCAGGACTTCTCCAGGGTGTCACCCATCCTCTGGAATGCCCTGCCCCAACCCATCAGATTATAACCTACTCTCCTCTCCTTTAGGCGCACCCTGAAAACCCACCTCTTCAGGGAAACCTACCCCACCCCCTGCTAACTTGCCAACCTCCTCCACTCTTCCTACCACTCCATCCCCCACAGCTATCTCCTCCTGTGCCACCATCCCCTCCCTCCTAGATTGTAAGCTCAAAAAAGCAGGGCCCTGGAACCCCTCCTGTTTTGCATTGCATTGTATTGTATTGTTATTGTTCTGTCCCCCTTTGTAATGTACAGCGCTGAGAGAACTATTGGCGCTTTATAAATACTGTATAATAATAATACAAAAGTCAGCAGCTACAATAACTTTAGCTGCTGACTTTTAAAATACAGACATTTACCTGTCCCTTGGTCCAGCGGTGTGCTCACCACTCCTAGTTTCACCGGCTTTTTTCTCTCACCCGATGCCTGCATCTTCATTGTGGGCACCCGGCTGTGGCAACTTGCGGCTTCACAGCTGGGTGCCAACTGTGCATGCGCGAGAAGTGCTGCACTTTGTGAATGGCCCCGTAGTCTTCTGGGGCCTGTCACGTGTCCCAGAAGACTACGAGGAGAGAGGGGGGAGGACAACTTCCACTTCCGATCGCCTAGGTCAGTGGTGGGCAACCTTTTTTTTCAACTGAGCCAAATCTCGCCAAAACCACGATTGAAATTTATTTTGAGAGCCACATTTTTAAAACTGAAAATACATAGGATGGTACACTGTTTTTAATTTCAATAAGTTTTTATAGTAATTCATCCCCATAGTAATTCATCCCCCATATAGTAATTCATCTCCCCTATAGTAATTCATCCCCCATATAGTAATTCATCCCCCATAGTAATTCATCCCCCATAGTAATTCATCCCCCATATAGTAATTCATCCCCCATATAGTAATTCATCCCCCATAGTAATTCATCCCCCATATAGTAATTCATCCCCCATAGTAATTCATCCCCCATATAGTAATTCATCCCCCATATAGTAATTCATCCCCCATAGTAATTCATCCCCCATAGTAATTCATCCCCCATATAGTAATTCATCCCCCATATAGTAATTCATCCCCCATAGTAGTAATTCATCCCCCCTATAGTAATTCATCCCCCATAGTAATTAATCCCCCATATAGTAATTCATCCCCCATATAGTAATTCATCCCCCCCTATAGTAATTCATCCCCCATATAGTAATTCATCCCCCCCTATAGTAATTCATCCCCCATATAGTAATTCATCCCCCATATAGTAATTCATCCCCCATATAGTAATTCATCCCCCATATAGTAATTCATCCCCCATATAGTAATTCATCCCCCCTATAGTAATTCATCCCCCATATAGTAATTCATCCCCCCTATAGTAATTCATCCCTCACATAGTAGTAGTAAGTAAGTAGCAAGTAGTAAGCCAAGTCCCCCCTGTGTCAATTCACTTACCTTTGCTCCGCGCGTTTCTCTCGCCGTGTTCCCGCGCCATTCCAGTCTTCAGGGCGGACTGTGAGAGGAGCCTAGCTCCTCTCACTTTCGTCACGCTGCCCCGCCTACACACATCCTGACAGCCAATCACTAGCTATCAGGATGTGAGTGGCAGCGAGACTGGCCAATCATTGCATTTGAGCGCGCTGCCCTGGCTGTTTTTTTTTTGGATCATGCTGCAGAGTCCCTGCCGCCCGAGAGGAGGGAGGGGAGCGGGCGCCCGGCACACAAGAGCCGCATTAAAGCGTGTAAAGAGCCGCATGTGGCTCGCAAGCCGCGGCTTGCCGACCACTGGCCTAGGTGATTGTAGCGAAAGTAGGAGCGGATATCTGTCAAATTCGGGTATCCGCTCCCCAAAGGTGTCCATCCTTAATGGGGAACAGGGGACAAAGGCTTAAAGTGGAACTTCCCTTTTTGGGTGGAGCTCCGCTTTAAAGAGAGTCCGAATGTTAACAAGTCCCTTTGGGTCCTGGAGAACTTACCACCACACTATGTACATTTTTGGACATCCCAGTCCAAAATCATGTGCATCAATATGGAGATGGCCCCACTTTGTGGCTTCATCAACCTCCCACAAGATTTCAGAGTATGCCTGCTGGAATTTGTGCACAATAAGTTAAATAGTATTTGTGAGGTCAGGTACAGAAGTTGGACATGAAGAACTGGCTCACAATCATGGTTCTAATTCATCCCAAAGGTGCTCAGTATGGTGGTCAGTGCTCTGCGCAGACCACCATTCGAGCTCCTTTGAACCACAACTAAAAAACATTGTTAACCTCCCTAGCAGTCTGAGTATGTTTTTTTATTGTAGGCCTGTAATTCTTAGGAATAACTCACTGAAATCTGTCCGAACAAGAGTCTATTAAACTTCCCGGGTATGATAAAATTTGAAACACAAAATCATAAATTATAATATAATAAATATTCATAAAAAATAATAATATAATAATAATAAATTTAATTCAATAATATAATCAAACCAAAAACACTGAAATTTTAAATATAGCGCCAAGTTCGCACATCACTGAGCTCAGCCCCAGAATCGTTTTCAGTGTCTGATGACGAATTTCCCCCACGAATCATTATCACTCAATTCTGCAAGTGGTTCTGATTTACTATCGCTGTTCTCTAGCTGATCTAAAACTGCTTTTGACCTAAAGGGACGCTTTTTGGACCCATGGACGTTTCTCAGTTTCCAGGCAGAAAGAACAGTAAAAATGGAGGCAGGGCGCCGGACAAAGCACTCGGGACAAAATGTATGTGAAATGGTTTGATACAAGTAATGGAATACTATCAGATTTTAGTGTATTGAGTGAATGTACAATTGTTTACATTTTTTAAATTCCTGCTGGTTCCGTCCCCCCGTATGTCCGGACGCTCGCGGGGAACGAAATCTGGAAGATGGATGGCGGCATCGGCCAGAGGACATGGCCAGGGATGCTGCAGGGGGGACATCACGGGAGCGCAGGACAAGGTAAGGGCTGGAGGGATCCCAGAGCAACACTGCAGGGTATTCCCAGGTGAAGCTTGGGGTTACCGCTTCTGTTACTGAAAGTTAACCCCGAGCTACACTCGGGAATACCGCCAGGGGGGTTAATTTAAATGTAAAGAGACTAATAAAGGTTTGTTTTAGACAAAATAATAGGTTCAGGATAACTGAAAGTTGATTCTGTAACAATCCTATTGCACCCCCAATATGTTTTTGCTGAAACTTTGGAGGAACTAAAACTCTCAATTTTGCGTATCCCTTAAACTGAGCAGAATTAGACAGACTAGTTGACAGAGACCAGGCTAAGGGAAATCATGTGTACTGGGCTAAGAACATGTTCAGCTATTCTTTTATGGTTGGGCTCACAGTGTCAGGAATGGACTTGCCAGTGGTGGTGGGACTCACCTGCCTTGTGGGCTGCAGTACCAGGGCTGGCCAGCGAGTGCTCTCAGCAACCAGAGGCTCACTCCTGCAACGAGCCATCATCTGAGGCTGATTACAGCAGGTGTATTTAAGGAATGGCCAGGCCTGTGATCAGGGCCTTGGTGTATGTTTCCCATGAGCCCCTGTACCTGCATCCTGTCTGCTTCCTGCCTGATTCTGCTTTATTCCTGACTCTGCATGAACTCTGCCTGTCCTGACCTCAGCTATTCCTGACTACACTTCCGCCTGCTCCTTGTACCTTGCCTGCCCGTTTGCTACCGACCCGACCTGACCGACTACGTTTAGTATTGTTCTTATTGTTATCTGTTGGAGGTTTGGTTGCACTGTGTTTATGTTTAGTCTTGCACTGAGTTTATGTATTGTTTAGTCTTTAATAAATTGTATTGTTTATACTATACCTGGAGCCTGTGTTTCCCTGTGTCAGTCCACACATTTCTGGTCATATACCCGGATCCCTAACACATAGACTGTAGATGTATAATTATGCTTGCTACTGAAGATGTAAAGACTGCCCATCCCTGGTCAACCTTGGTAGTAAAAAGTGGTAGAGATCTGAATACAAGGTCTATATTTACATTACATATTTTGATTGGTAGATGGTGGAAAATGGAAAAAGGTAAAGCAATATGGTCATTATTTTACCAGTGAGTCAATAAGACCACGCCTTTAGCCAATGCCGGTAATATTGCTTACAACCCATTGTAGGCAATAAATAGGAAAGACTTCATCTTTAGCACGGCCGACACCTGGGACCCACTGCATGGTCACATTTTCATTATGCCCCGCTACTTTACTGTAATCTTGCTCCCTTTACCCCCATTCAGGCCTGTTATGAGTGTGGCACCCACCAAATT